GGGTCCTGGGATGGAGCCCCGTGTGGGGCTCTGTGCTCCGAGGGGAGATTCTCTCTCCTTCTCCCTCTGCCCCTTGCCCTGCTCATGCGCTCATGCTCTCTCGCTCTGTAAAATAACAAATAAATAAATCTTTTTTTAAAAAAAGATGGGTGGTTTTTGATGCTCAATGAAACACAGAATTCAGGGTGCCTGGGTGGTTCAGTCGTTAAGTGTCTGCCTTTGGCTCAGGTCATGATCCCAGAGTCCTGGGATTGAGCCCTACTCAGCGCAGAGCCTGCTTCTCCGTCTCCCACTCTCCCTGCTTGTGTTCTCTCTCTCGCTGTATCTCTCTCTGTCAAATAAATAAATAAAAATCTATTTAAAAGATTTAAAAAAAAAGAAACAGAATTCAGAGCACTATCTTTGTATCTGCAGTTGCTGTAAATGTGGTATCGATTTTGATTAGTGTGCTTATCTTAATGAATAGAACTACATACACATGATTTCATTATTTTTTTTTTACATGGTTTCTTTTTTTTTTTTTTTAAGACAGATTGGCAGACTGAGCGTGATTGGTAGAGCATAAAGATGGAAAGAACCAGGGTCTCTGGTGATTTTGTTGAACTACTGAATTTACCGACCCTGGAGTCCTTGGCCATCTTTGGCAGATTTACGAGTAAGATCAAGGGATACTAATGGTTTGTCATATACTGGGCCAATATTTTCTTTCCCTCTCTGCAATTTGTCATTTAACATAGTTTTATCTGATTTTGGGTCTTACTTTAAGAAGCTTTCGTCACCCCAAGCTTATAAAACAAACAAACCAACAAAACATGCACTTGTTTTCTTTCATAATTGTCTGTTTTTCATTTAAAAATGTGATCAAGGGGCGCCTGGGTGGTTCACTCCGTTAAGTGTCTGCCTTCTGCTCAGGTCATGATCCCAGGGTCCTGGAATCGAGCCCCACATCGGGCTCCCTGCTCTGCAGGAAGTCTGTTTCTCCCTCTCCCACTCCCCCTGCTTGTGTTCCCTCTCTTGCTGTCTCTCTCTCTGTCAAATAAATAAATAAAATCTTAAAAAAAATTAAAAAATTAAAATGTAATCAAAATTATTTTTTTTAACGTAAGGGATGAAATCTTTTTTGTTTTGGTCCAACTCGCTGGTCTCTTATACTTGCACCATTTATATAAATTGATCCCAAATACCACCATCTTCTTCATATACCAAATTTCCACATACAGGCATTGCATAATTTGCAACAAAAAAAAATATGTGTATTCATGGAGTAGTGGGGAAAACATGGGCCTTTAAAAACACCTGGTTGACTCAGTTGGACAGGTGACTGACTCTTGGTTTTGGCTCAGGTCATGATCTCAGGGTTGGGAGATCGAGCCCCACGTCAGGCTCCTTACTGGGCATGGAGACTGCTTGGGGTTCTCTCTCTCTCCCTCTGCCCCTCCTCCCCAAACCCCTGCTTGCACACTCTCTCTCTAAAAAAATAAAATATAAACACATGTGTTTAAAAAAATAAATATAGAAAGATATTTGTCCGATTGCGGCAAAACTCATCCTCCTCTATCTCCCTACTACTGGGTAGTACAAACCTCTTTGACCCAAATCTGCTCTTACAAAGTTCTAAAAAGAGTATTCCAAAGTCTCATGAACAGAGTGTGCATATGCATGAAAATATGAGTCACGTCAGACCACCAGCAGTGACCCACGGCCACTGACAGAGATAGGCAAACAGGAGTAATGAGCCCATCCTCGGGTGGGCTCCCACTTCCAGCAGCCTGGAGTGAACGACATAGCAAACTACCCGGGAAAATCCGGGAGGTAAATCCTGAAGTCTCTACAGGCCATCTGGCTTCTATTGAAACTACTCAGCTTTGTCATCGCAGCACGAAAGTGACCAGAGACAGTTCATCGATGCCTGGACATGACTGTATTCCAAAAACACTTATGGACACTGAAACTTAAATTTCACATAATTATATGAATTTTCATATCCTTTCTTTTTCAACCATTTAAACCTGTAAAAACCATTCTCAGCTCACAAGCCGTATAAAAGCGGTAGTGAGGGGCGCCTGGGTGGCTCAGTCGGTTAAGCGACTGCCTTCGGCTCAGGTCATGATCCTGGAGTCCCTGGATCGAGTCCCGCATCGGGCTCCCTCCTCTGCGGGGAGCCTGCTTCTCCCTCTCCCACTCCCCCTGCTTGTGTTCCCTCTCTCGCTGTGTCTTTCTCTGTCAAATAAATAAATAAAATCTTTAAAAAAAAAAAAGCGGTAGTGAGCTGGATCTGGCCCATGCGCCATACTTGGCTGACCCCTAACATAGGACACACTGTGGTTGCTCCCCCACAGCCCCTGCCCCCTCCGCCGCTGAGTTGCAGCTACTGGGGTTTGGAGGGGACTGACCCACCCCTAGCTCCAGGAGGAGCATAATTGTTTTAACCTAATAAGTTGATTCTCATCACCTTGCCAGAGTGATTGCTTCTGGATACTCAGTCCTTTTTTTTTTTTTCTTTTATGATTTTATTTATTTATTTGAGAGAGAGAGTGAGTGAGTGGGCACAAGTGGGCGGAGGGGCAGAGGAAGAGTGAGAAGCAGACTCCCCACCAAGCAGGGAGCCCCGCCCACGCCGGAGATCCCAGGACCCTGAGATCAATACCTGAGCCAAAGGCAGCCGCTTGCCTGAGCCATGCAGTCGTCCCTGGATGCTCAGTCCTAAGTCAGTCAGACATGGTATTACCCTGGCCAATGTGACTAAATTGTACATTGAACCAGTTTAGGCCAATAAGATGTAAAGGGAAATTAACTGGGCCTTTGGTGGAAGCGATTCCTTTCTCCCCTTCTGGAAGGTGTGGGAGCATATCATTCAGGGGTTCTGGTTGCATGAAACAGAATAATTTGGGCTCATTTAAGCATAAGTGGACTTTATTATGAGCATCCTGGGTGATTCACAGCCTCTGGAGGAGCACCAGGAATCTCTAGAAGGACCAGGCGTGGAGTCCGCCCAGCCAGGGAAAATTCCACTGCAGAAGGGCTCCATGGTAGAGCTGGAGCTGTGTGCCTGGGAAGCTGGGAGAGGGGCTGCTTGATATTTCAGCTTCCTGATGACGTGGGAGTGTCCTTAGATATTGAGTCTGATCTCAGGAGACCAAAAAGGATGACGAGTGACCCCCGTTATGGACTGAGGGTGCTTGTCCTTCCAAAAGTCGTCTATTGACGCGTTAGTCCCCAGTGTGATGGTATCTGGAGGTGAGGCCTTTGGAGGTAATTAGGTTTAGACAAGGTCATGAGGGTGGGGTCCTTACGATAGGATTTAGTCCCTTCTAAGAAGAGGCTGAGAGCTAGCTTTCTCTCTTCACCATGTGAGGGCACATGGAGAAGACAGGAAGAGGGGTCTCACCAGGGACCACATGAGCTGGCATCTTGGGCTTCCCAGACTCTAGAAGTGTGAGACATAAATGTCTGTTGTTTAAGACACCCAGTTTATGGTGTTTTGTCATAGCAGCCCAAGGAGACGAATACAACCCCCGGAAGAATGACAAAGAGCAGCCATTTTGCCCCCATGAGGAAGCGCACTTGGGATAACGCTTCCCCCGCAGACAGAAACCAGGTCCTTTGTGACAGTCCTAGGGCACTGGACCCAAGCTTCTCTGAGCACACTCTCTCTTGTCTTGAGACCATTATCGCATGACACAATGCAGTGTCCTTGTTTTAACGTTGGTGTTGGTCCAACTTGTGTTTTCTATCATTTGCTGAATAAAGAGTGTCTGCCTGCTGAGGGGTAAAGGGAAGACGGGGTTGGGGGGGGTCAGCCCCAGAGAGGGGGGACCTCATGGTTTATTAGTCAGGACTCTGGGTACAAGTGACAGAAACACATCTTGAATGTGTTCAAGTCACAAAGAGGAAATCAATGGTTTGTGGTCATTTAATACATATTTACACAGCGCCTACTATAGGCTAGGCACCCTAAACACTGCGGATACGGATCAAAACAGACCAAAAAAAAAGCCCTACAAAAAACCCTTACCCTCAAGGAGCTTACATGAGCAAGTAAGCAAGTATATAGTATATGCCACGCACAAAAGGAAGGGAAGGGAAATCGGGGATTGCTGGGGAAAGCGGCTCCAATTTTAAACAGGTTATCAGGGGAGGCTGCACTGAAAAGGTGGTATTTGAGTAAGTAAGGAACTGAAGTTGAAATTTTCCTTGGTAGACTCAGCCTTAAAAAAAAAAAAAAGGAAGAGCAAGTGTAAATCCCTGAGGCAGAAGAACAGCGAGGGGGCCAGCAGTGTGGCTTCAGCGAGACCAACGAAGGGAAGACAAGGAAGAGTTGGGATCAGAAGAATGGTAGCAGGGCTCCGATCTCCGTGCAGAGCCATTCGTTTATTGAATATTTTACCTCGTAGCAAAATCACACACCATCCTCCAAGCGGAGAGATTCTCCAACGTGGAGGGGGCCGGAGACAGAGGACAGAGTGACAAAAGCACAGGGAAGCCCTTAAGCCTGCTTGGTTGTCCATCGTGAGTCGCTCAGGACAGTTCTGCAGGTCGGTGAGCCGAGGATGGTGGACCCAACCATTCGTGCTCTGCTGGGGATTCCGGTTGCATCCCTCCCGATGGACTAAGTGTGGTTCAATCCCGATGGTCCAAGCAGGAGAGACTCTTTTCATTCCCACAAACTCTCTAGGAGCCGCATCTCTGGTGCCCACTGGGTGTGTTTGCTAAGCAACAACTGTGGGCGTGACAATTGTGGGTGGAAGGAGTCTGAGCCCCGCCCCGGAGGGCTCGGGTATTTCAGGACCTTGATCTTTAAGACTTGCCCCGCCTCATCCTGAGGGGGCGGAGCGACGAGGGCAGCTGTCACCTCCTTTGCCCCGCCCCGCCGGCTCTCTCGTGGGTTCGGCGGCTCAATAACAGCTCTTCTTCCGGGACTTCCTGGTCACCGCGACCAATCAGAGTGTTCTTCCTGTCCTGACCATTGTCAGCCGGCTGCCAATCGCGCGCCTCTACCAACGCCCCTTAAAGGCGCCGCCGACGCCGCCCGAGTCGGGGCGAATCAGTTCCTCGGTTCCTGCCCCAAACTGCGGCATGGAGTCGTCCCGGGGGCGGCCTGGGCCCGAGGCGGACCTTCTGGCTCTGGGGGAACAGCAAGCCGCGATCTTCGGCGGCGGCCTGGGCCGAGCGCCCTCTGCGCCGCCCTCAGGCCTCCCGGTGTCCGGACAGGAAGAGGCCGAGAACGTTGGGGGCGCGAGCCGCCACCCCGCGGCGTCCCCGAAGACTTCGAGCCGCGGCGCCGTCCACCGGGCCGAGCGGGAGGCTCGGGACTACGAGCCGGGCCGCGGAGGGACGCCGTCCGCGCCGGGGAGCCTCCGGGGGGCGCCGGGTCCCGAGCCCGACCCGCACGGGTCCTCTGGGCGCCAGGACCCTGAGCCGCCGGAGGACGAGCCTGCATCCGAGAGGGGCTGCCGTCGAGGGAGCCCGGGAGGCAGCGGGATGGAGGCTGAGCCGCGGGAGGAAGACGAGGAGGAGGAGGCGGCGGCGGCCGGCAGGGCTGGCCGCTCGTTCTCCAGCCGCCTTCAGGACAGCCGCAGCCTGGACGGGCTGAGCGGGGCGTGCGGCGGCGCCGGGTCGGCAGGGGGTGCCGAGCCTGGCGCGGGCGGCGGGCGCCGCGCCACCATCTCCAGCCCCCTAGAGCTCGAGGGCACGGTGAGCCGCCATGGCGACCTCACCCACTTCGTGGCCAACAACCTGCAACTCAAGATTCGTCTGAGCGGCGCCCCTCAACCCCCGCCCCCTGCCCCGGCGCGGCCCTGTGCAGCGCCCGCGCCCACTCCGGCCATCCCCCCCATCGACCCCGACGTGCTGCGGGACCTGGAGCGGCTGAGTCGGGAGCTGGGCGGCAGGGTGGACCGTCTGCTGCGCGGGCTGGGTGGCGCGGTGCAGGAGCTGACCGCGCTGAGCGTGGGCTGCATCCAGACCTACCGCGACGCCGTGGACTCCCTAGGCGAAGCGGTGGACATGAGCATCAAGGGCATGTACACCCTGCTGGCGCGCTGTGAAGAGCTGGAGCGGGCTCTGCAGCCAGTTCAGGGGCTGGCGCGCCAAGTCCGGGATATCCGACGCACCCTGGAGGTGCTGGAGGCCTTGTGCAAGTGACCGGGAGGGCAGGAGTGGCCAAGCCAGGGCCCAGCAGGATCCTAAGGACTCTTCAAGGAGCCCTGGTGGGAACTGCCCGCTGAGGGGAGGCCTATGTATTGGAGGCTCTTCCAGACGCATTTCGCAGGCCTGCGACCACTCGCTGGGCCTTATTCAGGTGTATATGGGGAAGTTCTGAAGCCTCTCCTGGTGGGAGGGGATGATGCTCTGCTTCTGTTAAGTTGGCCATCTGTAGCGACCTTGTTCTCAACCCTCTTCTCCAGCGAGAACACCATCTCTGGGAACCCAGGGCTTTAGGTCTCGGCTTGGGAGACCTGACTGCCATATGCGGTCAAGAAAGGAGAACAGAAGAGGCTCCAGCCCCCACTGTGGCCACCCTGACTCCATTGGCCACATCTCAGGTGCCAGGGGCTGTGGGAGCTTGAGTGGTCCTTGGCCACAGGCCATGCAGACAAGGATGCACACCTGCAGATGGATAACCCCCTGCTTCTGCCCTCTGGCCCCCTACCATCCCCCCTTCCCCAGCCAGAACTGGGGTGGAACTAGAAGGAATGCATTGCATGGTAGAGGGGGTGAGGTGGGAGGGGTCTCACTGCTCTCAGGGTTCAGGCAGAATTGTTGCTGGTTTTGAAGCCCACTGTTGTGGCGTGTTCTAATCAGTTTTGGCTTTCTGAGTTTTTGTGGAATTAAAGTGCTGCTGCTAAGGCTGAGGTGTGTCTGTGTGGGGTTCCAGGGATTGGTGAGCTGAAGGAGCGGGGATGAGGGTCAGTCTCTTTTGTGGAGCTCTCTTGGCCGATGCTGGGTGCCGGGCGGGAGTCCCAGGTGACGTGGGCAAGGGTATATGGTTCCTGCTCTCAGGCGGCACTGCGATGGGGGAGGGGGGCGGACGCGGGAGGTGGGGCACGTGAGAGGCACAGATCTGGGCTCCGGGATCCAGTAAAAGCAGAAACACAAGCAGGGTGTTCCGGTACCGAAAGGAAGGGACTGTGTTCTCAGATCTGGAAGGGGACAGGCAGGGGCTGGGTGAACTGGACATCTTGACTCAGGAGGAAGACTGGAAACGCTTGTTACCTCCATTCCTGACCCCATTTCCCACCCTCCACCGATCAGTGTCATATTCGTTGCATCGTCTCCAAGCTTCCCGTCCACATAGTAAGTTCCAGGAGCCCCACGTTATGTCCGGGAGAGTTATAAATAGAGATCACAGAAGGAACTCCAATTTTATTAAACCTTCCTCCTCCTCCCCCAAGACAGTATCTTGGACTGAATTTCAACATGTTTCTATTCTGGGTGTGAAAAGTTCTGCAATTGGAAATGTTGCTCCATAAACGTTCCCCAGTAACAAACTATAGCGGTGCAAAGTTTAAGGAAAAGGCAGACCGCTTCTGGCCCGTACGGGGATCGAACCCGCGACCTTGGCGTTATTAGCACCACGCTCTAACCAACTGAGCTAACCGGCCAGCTACTCCTGGCGTCTTAGTCTGGAACTATATAGAATTTATATTACTGATCGGTCCTATCTTCAGGAAAAATTGGAAATGGACAGGACCATTCTGAGAGACGCGAAAACGACATGCAGGCGGAATCACGGAGCGTCTCGGAAAGTAACAGCAAGGCAACATCCGGGCAAGTACAGATGCTACTCTGGTGCTCGGCGGCATGGGTCAGCAGGGCGCAAATACGGAGCCCCAGCCTGGCAACAAGCACGCGGCTTCCGCTCACGCAACCACAAAACGCCAGGAATGGAAAGCGCCGCCCAAAGGCTCCCGGCAGATTCCGGGAGGGACGGTGAGGGATCTGTGGATGCCCAGAGGCTCTTCGCAAAAGCAGTAGAGCGCAGAGGCACCGCTGGGATTCGAACCCAGGATCTCCTGTTTACTAGACAGGCGCTTTAACCAACTAAGCCACGGCGCCCACCGTCAGGGATTCGGCGCCTTCCTTCCTTGGCCAGGTCAGCTCTCCTGCAGGTGAGTGGATGCCTAGGTGCCCCCTGGTAACCAAGCTTTGGCCGTCCTGGAAAACGGAGTAGAAGGGACGAAAACCACGGTTGGGGGGTACCGCGGACTACCGGGGTGACGCGGAAACGGAATCGGGGCAGGTGAGAGATAAGAGAAATTCTTGCTTTGAGATGACAAAACTGAACCCCGGCTGCGACAACCGCACGCCGACGAGGATGGGATTCGAACCCACGCGTGCAGAGCACAATGGATTAGCAGTCCATCGCCTTAACCACTCGGCCACCTCGTCCGCCGAGAAGTGGCTTCCACTCTTCTCTCTGGGGCCTGAACTCGTCCTCCCGCCCGCCGGACCCGCCCACGTGGCGCACGGCGCGCTCCTCTCGGTCGCCGAGCGACCTTCCCGCCCGCGCGCGCTCCACCCTCTCCCCTCCGGGCCCGGCGACCCGCCCTGCGCGCCAGTCCTCCGGAGCCCTGTCCCTCACCCGCGCTTGCGGGGCCCGGATCCGCGCCCACCAGCCCGCGAGATCTGGGCTCCCCCGACGGGGCGGCTCGGGACGTGGCGCCAGGGGCGCTCCCCGTCCGGCCCCTGCAAGGCGCTGCTCCGACTTGGTCGCGGGCGCTAGAGGGTAGGTGGACACGCCGGGGAGGGGAATAAATAAAAGTGACGGAAGCCGTAGCGGGGCGGGGGGGGCGGGGGCGGGGAAAAAAGCTGACCCCGACGTGATTTGAACACGCAACCTTCTGATCTGGAGTCAGACGCGCTACCGTTGCGCCACGAGGTCGGCCGGCCGGAGGGGTGGACAGGTCTCCCCATGGCCACTTGGCGGCCGGCCGGGGTCCCGGCGATCGAGGCTGAGAGCCGAGGCCTTCCCGAGCTCCTAAGCTCCCGCGGCGTGAGGGGTGCGCGGTCCCTCCCGCCTCGTGCGTCCCGCGGGGCCCCCGCCCCCGGAGTCCTGCCCGCGAGCACCTGGCCCCGGGCTGTCCCCCGGGGTCCCCGGAGCGCACAGCCCGGCGGGGACGGGCGGAGGGAGCGTGTGGGAGCGCTGCCGGAGTCCCCCGCACCTGCGGGGCGCGAGCCCAGCTCCTGCAGCCACGCGTCTCCTCCCGGCTGCGCGTTCCCGGCGTCCGCGGGGCCTGCCTGCCCAGGCACCCGCCCAGGCACCCGCCCCCGGCTCGGAGACTCTGATTTCAAAGCCCAGCGGGTAATTTCGTCGCTCGTTACAGTTCTGGGGAATAATTTACATGCAGTGACATACACAGACCTGAAGTGTGTGTTTTGGTAAATTTTTACAAATGCAACCCACAGCGCATTCAAGGTATAGGACATTTCCTCCACCCCCCAGAAAGTTCTTCCCTGCCCCCTCCCAGAGGCAACCACTGTTCTGATTTCGATCACGACAGACGTCAGCATGTTTTAGAGCTCCCCAGGTGAGATGGAGCTGGCAACTTCCAGAGAGGGGTACCGGAAGCTAGCAGAGACCCCGATTTGCCTCTCGAGCCGTTCAATAGGCCAACACGAGGAAAGAGGTCATGCTGTGTCTCCCTCCTTCCCTTCCAAGTCAAATGTCTGTGCATTCGGTACAGTGCCTCCCAAAGTCCTCAGAGACCACGGAGATGACCCCCCCCAACCCCCCGGCTCTCCGACGTGACTTTCACTGACTCAGGGCAACATCTTTAAGAGCCCTCTCCCTTGGTTGTCAGGACATTGGTCTGCTGACTTTCCCCTATTCCCCCCAATCCGTGCTCCCTGCTCTCTTTTTCTGTCCTTTAACCGCAGAGCTCTGTCACCACTTTCCCTGGAGTCAGCCACCTGTGTGCCCAGGGCTCCTGAAGCCTGCTCCCACCTCTGGATTCAGCCGCCCAGCACCTGCTGGACACCTTCACTTGACCCTGTCATCCTTCCTTCCCACTCCCTCTGCACTCCCAGCCAGTCTCCTCTTGACTCCTCCCTCTCCCTCCCTCCCCATTCCCAGTCCTCAAGTCCTGTCAATTCCATTTTCCTTCATAAATCTCCCGCTAGCTCTCATTCCCCACCCTCTCTTGCTGGATTATTGTAATAGACTCCTCTCTGATGTCTCTACCTCCGGAATAGCCAAGGAGGATCATCTTTTTAAAATGCGAACATAAAACCAGTGCCCCATCCCCTTCGAGATTAGGTCCTAACTTATTGGCCGGGTCCCCAAGGCCACGCACTGATTAAGTGGGCCCTGGAAGCAGGTTGCCAATATTCACATATAGGCTTTGCTACTTACTGGTTGTGTGATTTGAGCTCGTTGTTGAACCTCCTTGCTTGTCCATGTCGCCATCCGGAAAATGGTAAAGACTGTGATGGATCACTGTGAGTAGTTTATTTGCCAAGATAAAGTGCTCAGAACCTCACTGGTCATAAACCAGTTATTACGGTTGTTATTAATATGTGGTCCTTGCCTGACTCTTCAGCCACCGCCACCTCACCTCCCAGGTGACAGCTACGGTGACTCGTTTATAGTTCCTTAAACACATTTTAGTCCCCAGTGTCTCTGTGCCACTGTCCTTCTTTATCTGGATGACCCTTAACATACCCTTCAAGACTCAATTCAAAAGCTCCCTCCTCCCTACTTCTCGCCCCATCTGGGGGAGGAGACCTGTGATGTGTCTCCTCCAGGATAACACTTAAAGCACTATTTTAAACTGTTTCCCTCACCACACTCTAAGTTACTCAGGAGAAGGAAATATGTATTCCTAGCACCCCATACAATACCTGGAGTATAGTGTGTATTCAATAAACATTTGTGAAATTAAGGACGGATGGATTTGGCAAAAGCACTATGTGGGCAAGAGCCTGCTTTATAGAAGAAGGAGACATGTCTGGGCAGCTGAAGAGCATGGGGTGAGGTGGAAATTTTTGCTAGAAGGGGAAGTTGGGCCAGTGAATATGGTACCAGGGAATGTGGACTTGAGTTCTAGGCTCAGAAATGTTCCGTAGCAAGTGTGAGGAATTATCAGTCCAGGGTCACCATCCAGAGTATTCTCGGATGTTTAAATCTCCATTTATCCCACTCGTTTCCAAGTTTTAGAAACCAATAGATTATTCTGTCCAGAGCTGCTCAATATGGTAGCCACTAGTGAACTGAATTCAGTTCCTTAGTCCCACTAGCCACATTCCAAGTGTTATTAGCCCCATGGAGCTAGCTGGCTACCACACTGGACAGAGACAATATGAAGTATTTCCGTCATAGAAAGTTCTCTCGGACAGTGCTGATCCAGAGGCTGAAAGCTGGTGACCTGAGGCTGTTGCATGCTGTTGTCATCAGGGGTATTTTTCTCCCTCTTCATTTTTTTCACCGTTAAGTTGGATACTAATATTTATAACTGGAGTAAGAATCTGGATTTCTGGCCTCTCTTAAAAAAACAAAAACAAAACAAAACAAAACAACCCCAAAAAACAACAACCACAACAAAACTCCCAGAAACCTGGCAACACTGGATTTCTATCTCCTTCCTCAAAACAATGGCCTGAAGCCGAGTAGCTGCTGCCCCACAAAACCCACAAAAGATGTTAAATCTACCAGTTCACAATGATCCTAAAAACAACTAATTGGTCCCTTTTGGAGGATGGTAGGGAATCGACTTATTATTCTGAAAACTGGTAAATAAATGGGGGAAAAGAAATCACACATGTATCCAGCTTTTCCTATATGACCTGTATCTCAAGGTAAACGGGTGGATGAAGGCACATTCTTATTTAAAGAAGAATAACAGTGACAAATGCAGAAAGGAACGATGCAATTAAGACATCCCTGTTTTGCAACTCCTCCTGAAATAATGAAGCTAGGCAGCCGTGATCAATTAAACCAGTAGGTGAAAAACTGACGGGAACTTTATAATGCTTGCTTCAGTCTGACTACACCTGAATCCACTGCTCAGATCTAACACCGGAAAAAAGAGAGACAAGCAGTCAGGATGCACCTCCTGATGTGATAGAATAAGAAATACAGGCCAACTCCCGTGATGTCTATTTACCAGAAAATTGAATGTGAGATTCATCAACCACTAGATCTAGCAACCAGTTTACAGGAAACACAGGACATAGAGGAACATGTGAAATGACAGGACCAGAGCACTGCCCACAAATGGCCCAGTGTCTTCATCAGAGAAATTGCAAGGAAGGAGAACAAGGCAGAAGAACCTAAGATTTAAAAAAAAAAAAAAAAAAGATTTAAGAGACACATCAACCAAGTGTAATATGTGGACTTCGTCATATGTCTATATGATGGATATTGGGCAGTCTGAGCTATTTGGTGATGCCTGGGATTTGCTTGGCAATAACCTAGTGGGGCTGGGAGGGAGCTGGGAATCTAGCTGCAACAAGGTTGGCAATGTGTTGGTAATTTTTGGAGCAGAATGGCAGGCTTCGAAGGGGTTCATCCTTCTATTTTCTTTATTTTTAGATATGTTTGAATTTTTCCATGATAAAAAACATTTCCCTGAGCTTTTCTGACCAGATCAAATGTTAGGACAGGTGGGTTCCAGCCCTGGAGCCGGGGACTCCACTTAGGGAAGGACGTGCCAGGTCACCAGCAGTACCTTCTGTGGCCACACGGTGGCTCTAACACTCACTTTTGTGTGACCTCTGTGGGGCAGGCTTCTGGGAACCAAGATCATGGAGAGTGACAGGACAGACCTGAATGCCTGCTTACTGTTCATTAATTCATAATGTGAAATGTGACTACCCAGTTCTTACTATCTAGTAGGTTCCCTAGGCAGGAAGCCTATTATAAACAGAATGCCCCACACTTCCAGCTGTGGGAGCCCAATCTGTCATCCTTGACCCCTTCCTTTTCTCACCCACTCATAGCCCCATGTTTAGACCTTCTTATCTTTTAATGATCTCTTGATTCCTTACACTTGCTCCACTTTCTTTATTCCCCCCTGGTCCAATCTCATTCTGTCTGTCCTGGGATCACTATACAGCTTCTTCGCAAGCCTGCTACTTAACATCTCAAAATCGATTCTCCACATTGCATCCAAAGTCATCTTCTAGAATACAGACCTGACCAGGTCCCTCCCCCTGGCTGCAAGGCCATGCACCGTGTCTGCCCACCCCACCCCACCGCACCCTCTTCTCTTCTACCCCTTCTGTTACTAGCCTTCAGACATACTAGCTTCCCTTCTGTTCAATGAACATACTGGCCTCGTTCCCACCTAAGGACCTTTGCCCTTGCTGTGCCTCTGTCTGGAAAGTTCTTTCCCCACATCTTCACACGGCTGGCTGACTCCTTCTCTTCATTCTGTCTGTTCCGGGGCCTTGGAAAATCTTGCAAAAACAGGTCCTGGGTTTTGCTCACTTCCGACAGCTGACAGTGTTTCTTTCATCTGTGAATAGTCACACTTGATCAACTGTCACTGGGGGAGGTTGGTTCTGGCGGCCTGGACTTCCCGTTCCCAGGAGCAAAGTCTTATGAGTTATATGCAGAGGGAGGAGCCCTTCAGTCCTTGCATCTTATCTGTGTGCGCAGAATGTTTTCGCGCTTACTATGCTGTGCTTTCCATGGTGGAGAGCACATGGAGCCCACCTCTCATTGTATTTAGGATGTCAACACTGTCACTTGTTTTGAGGGTCTCATACTGATGAGGGTCACCTCCAGGGAGAGAAGCAGTGGGGTCCACTGTACTTTGCCTGTCCTCCTGAGGTGGGGGAGGTTTGAAAACATTTTCAGAACTTTAAAACGGTTCAGCGGTTAAAGAGAGAACCTCCCCTACACACCTGAGAGCTCAGAAACCCGTGCAGGTAATATTTGATTACCATCCAATAGTTTTGGAGTAAAAAAATACAGAGACTTGGCTGAATCTCACTCTTTATACAAATAATTCCTCTGTAAAGTCTAAATGATTGCGTTTTTTATTTTATGGGTTTTGGGACCACATTGTCTCCATTATGAGATTAAGGCTGTACTGCCCTCTAAAGCGGCGGTTTTATAGGAAAATGTCACTGCATAGTTTCAATATATAGGAGTTTAACAAGTAGGGACCGCCAATCCAGAAATCATTCCTTCTTTTTATAAAGCAATTTAATGTCTCAATGATATTATAGAAGACCCAGAAGGAAACCTTAGAAAGGGTTAACATTTAAAACTTTTTATTTTAAATAATCTGGTTTACCGAAAAGTTGTTGCAAAAATAATACAGAGAGGGGCACCTGGCTGGCTCAGTCCATAGAAAACGTGACTCTTGATCTGGGGTCGGGAGTTCAAGCCCCAGGTTGGGTGTAGAGCTTACTTAAAAAATAAATATAAGGGGCGCCTGGGTGGCTCAGTTGGTTAAGCGTCAGCTCCCGTTGGTTTCAGCTCCCGTCATGATCTCATGGGTCATGATCTCTGGGTTGTGAGATCCGGCCCCTGTCGGGCTCCACGCTCAGCGGAGTTGGCTTGAGATTCTCTCTCTCCCTCTCTGTCTGGCCCTCCCCCCTTCAAATAAATAAATCTTTTTTTTTTTAATAAAGATTTTATTTATTTATTTGACAGAGAGAGAGACAGCAAGAGAGGGAACACAAGCAGGGGGAGTGGGAGAGGGAGAAGCAGGCTTCCCGCGGAGCAGGGAGCCCGATGCGGGGCTCGATCCCAGGACCCTGGGATCATGACCTGAGCCGAAGGTAGACGCTTAACTTAACGACTGAGCTACGCAAGTGCCCCTCAGATAAATAAGTCTTTTAAAAATATACATATATATATAATACAGATAATTCCCATGTGCCTTTGAGACCATGTTCGCTCTAACATTGCCTCTCTGTCTCTATAGACACATATTTTTCTAAACCATTTGAGAGTAAATTGCAGACATAATACTCTTTTACTCCTAAAATAGTGTGTATTTTCTAGCAAGGACATTCTCTTCCATAAAGGCAGTAGAATTATCAAAAATCAGGAAATTAACATGGATAATACTGATATCTAAACTAGAGATCTTATTCCAATTTGCCAATTGTTCCACCGGTGTCCTTCGCAATAAAAGAAAGTGTTTGGGGTTTTTTGTGTTTTTTTTTTTTCTGGTCCAAGATCCATGATATTTCTCAAGTCAAATTTGTCACATCTCTTTAATCTCCCTACATGTGGAAGAGTTCTTCAGTCTTTGTCTTTCATGACCTTGAACAAACACCTCCTTGTTATCTCTTTTGAGTTCTGAATTTTTTTACCTGGTTTTTTTACTGGTTTAGAAAAAGGAAATCTATTTATTATATTGGGGTCCTCAAACAGAGAAACACGTTTCCTCTCAATTTTGACATTTCCTACAACAAAGTTGAAGACTAAATGACTCATTTTTCGAAGGGCCTTTCCTCGATCTGTTATTCTAGCGTCTCCCTTTTAAAAATATATTTATAGCACCTCTTACCCTGCGAATTTATTATTTGTTCGCATGTTTGCTGTCCATGTCAATCTCCCTGACTAGAATACAAACTCCAGGAAGGTAGAACCTTCTGTCTCGTCAAGAACAAGAGCTCAGCACTTGCTAGCTGGTCAATGGGTATTTGTCGAATGGATTTAGAAATCAGAAATGCCCCCTGGGCGTGCGTGTTTAGCTTAGACCGGCCTCAAAGCACTGGGGTGGAGAGGAGGAAGAGAGATGATCTGGTAAATGGGCCGGGTCGGGGGGGGGCGGGGGGGCCCCGGGGACGCTGTGACCTGACCCGGGGGCAGGGAGCTCGGCGAGAACTTTCCCTTCTGCAAGGATCCCAGCTGAGGGCCCAAGGTCAGTGAGGACGCTCATAGAGGTTCTTGGGCTGCAGCTGGGCCAAGTCGGGTGCCCACACTCGGAGAGATAAGGAAATCCGAGCTGAGTCTGCGTCGCCGCCAGCTCCTTGCCTCCCGGGGCGCAGGGCTCCCGGCTCTTCCGCCTGGTCACCCACTCCCTTCCCCAAACGCGCCTCTCATCCACGGGGAGAGCTGGCCATTTTCTGCCCTCTGCGATCCCTCGCCAATCTGAGCAAAGTCGTCTGGGGACTCGGTGGGGGGCGGGGGTGGTGTCAGAGAATCAAGGAAGGTTCCGGTCCGGGGTCCTCGGATACTCAGGGACCCCGTGACCATCTAATAAGTGACAGCCGAACAATGCAGGGGCATCCGCGTCTGCTCGGGCCCAGGGCAGTGGGGAGCCACGAGGAGGCGGAGGAGGGAGAGAGAGAGTGTCCCTGCCCTAAGCCCGCACGGCGCCCCTCGCGGCCGACCCCCGACTAGCGCCACCGACCAAGGCTGCCGCCGCTCGAGAATTGACTGCCCTCGCGAGATTTTCCGAGATCCGGCCGCTGCGCCGGCTGACGCGGTTGCCAAGGCAACTGGGCGGCGCCGGCGCGAGCGGGAAGGAGGCGTCGGTCGAATTTCTGCTTGCCAGCCGGCGAGACTTCAAGAGTGGCCCTTCCTGAGCTTGCAGCCCCACAGAGCGCGGCCTCCGCTGCAGTCGGCACCCCTGCCCCCGGGGGACCATGGGCCGGATCTCGGGGCTCGTGCCCTCTCGCTTCCTGACGCTCCTGGCGCATCTGGTGGTCGTCATCACCTTGTTCTGGTCCCGGGTAAGACCCACGGCCACCCGCCTCCCGCCGCCCACCCCAATCCCACCTTAGGGGTGCTCCCAGCCCCTCCGCGCCCCTTCCCCACGACCTTACGGGGGCGAGTCCTCCCATCCCCCTCTGACCCCAGTGCTGCCCCGCAGCCCGCCCCTCTTTCACTTTCTTCCTCTCTGCCCTGCTTCCCCAGGACAGCAACATCCAGGCCTGCCTGCCTCTCACGTTCACCCAGGAGGAGTATGAGAAGCAGGACATTCAGTGAGCACTTGGGGGCAGGGTGGTCAGAATTCAGCAGTAGCGGGAGTGGAGGGGTCTTTGAAGAAGTCCAGGAGGCTGAGCCAGCCTCTTTCCTCTCTGCAGGCTGGTGGTAGCGCTCTCCGTCACCCTGGGCCTCTTTGCTGTGGAGCTGGCGGGTTTCTTCTCTGGAGTTTCCATGTTCAACAGCACCCAGAGCCTCATCTGTATCCTTTTACGCACGGCCCGTTTCCATTTCGACTCTCTCCAGCCACCTAACTCGGCTTTTCTGGCACGATGGTGTGTGCTCTGGCGGGGGCAAACAGCCTCTCCAGTTCATAGATCTTCTTAGGCAATGTGGAAGTTTTAATACGATCTTCAATCATTTGTTAAGCTCCCGCCATGCACCAGGCACTGGAGATCCCTAATGGGAGTAAGACACAGTTTTCCACCTTGAGGAAGAGGCAGATATTCAGACAGACGTCTGTAACTCAGTGTGAGCATGTAAAGATATGAAGAAGTACTATGGAAACTCAGAAGAGACAGCAAAATAAATAAATAAATAAGACAGAAATGAGGAAGATGGATCAGGGAAGGCCCTTGACACTTGAATTGTAGACTGGGAGGACCGGGGCGCTGCATGGTGATTCCAGCAGTGTATCAAGTCACTGTGAGCCTTCTTGTGTTCCTGGGGTAGAAGGGGAGCCTACTCCTGGACCTGAAGGGTCCAGGCTAGCCCCTAGATACCGGCTATCTGGCTATCTGGCCCAGCTCTGTCTGGTCTCTACTCACATGGCTGTCCTAAAGCTCAGAGAAGTCAGGGCTTGCGGGCTCTGTCCTTTGCAGCATGGTGAGGGAGCAAGGGGTGAACTTGAGTGCAGACACCTGTCCCAGCAACGGCCTTTTCTGGCTTATCACTACCTACTGAACCAAAGGCTTTCCTTGACTCTGGTGCATTCCCAAGCCATTGGGGCTCACTGTACGGCATCTGTAACCCTGTCCTTTTTCATATTCGAGCGTTGGGAGTGCACCACGTACTGGTACATTTTTGTCTTCTGCAGGTACGGTAGCATCCAATGTTTGGGGATGGGGGAGGAAGGTTTATTCAATCTGAAGGTTCCCCCCACCCAGGGGATATCCAGGATATCCTCCCTGTAGGATATAGCAGAACCACTCAACATGCCTCTCAGCATAATCTCTTGAAGTCCCCCTCTCCTACACTTTTGGGGTGGAGTCTCTGGTTTGGGGATTTGGGTTTGTTTTTGTTTTGTTTTGTTTTTGTGGAAGGATCCTTGAACTCACCACCTACTGTCCACAGTGCCCTCCCAGCTATCACCGAAATGGCATTATTCGTCAGCGTCTTTGGGCTGAAAAAGAAACCTTTCTGATACCTTCATGATGGGAGCATAGGATTGAAGATTGGAGGATCAAGGGACCACTCACCATTTCCGGAACAAGAGGATGTCAGTGTTCCTGTTAGGGTAATTATCACGCGAGTCTGGGATGATCAGCGTTTTATTTAGTGCTTTGTGATAAAATATATTTTAGAGTAAGATCAAGACTTGGGAAACGTTTAGGGGAGAATTGGGGTGGACAAACTACTAAAGAAACGGAAGGCTGTTTTCCAGCCTTGCAGACTGTAAGATCCTAGGTTTCGCTTTTATTTTGGTCATTACGGTAGCGTCTGGCGGAAGGAAGTAGGCGGGGATATGTAAATAACAAGTGCTGTCTGCCGTTAGGGTGCCAAGCTCGTGAGTGGGGCATTCTGGGAGGGATTAGTTTATCTTTTTTTTGGCAGCCAAATGGGGGGGGAAATGTTTTTTAATATCTACATACATGTAGCAATAGAATGGAAGACCCTCGATAACTTCAGGTGCTGGGGCTAGCGCGTTATTTACTCACCCTAGACGAAAGCGGCATCCTTGGCCTTGAGTAAGGAATACGCAGAGTTTTGCGTTTATCGTCAGGTGGGATAATCCTTACCTGTTCCTCCTGCGGGAGGGCAGATCGGAACATGATGATTGGAGTTCGGATGATGCGTGATTAGCGTCTCTGTGTGGCTGGGACTTGCAACACCCCGGTCGCTCCTGTCTGATTCTGTCTGACGATCTGGCTTTTTGCGTGTGTGGAAACGGATAGATTCTGGTGCTTGAGTAGAGTGTAGGCGAGTTTAGGTGCTGTGCTGATGGTGTGTTGGCGGCGGGGAGGGACTGCTGCTGACCAGTTGTGTATCTTGCCATGATTTTTTAAGGCCACTTTGTCACGTGCCCGGCATCTACATCCAGAAGCGTTTTTCCGGGTGGGTGTCAGGTTTCCGCCGTTTGTGAGTCTTGCCCTCCCTTCCCGCCCGTCTCGGTTAACTGTAGAGAACCGATGTGTGTGTCAAGTCCCTGTTCATGTCTTTCCGTGCTTGGTGCCACGAACTTTTCCTGTCTGTCCGCAGCAGGAAGGGCCACCTGCTCAGAAACCGGGGTACAGCTGCGGAAGGGCCACCTGCTCAGAAACCGGGGTACAGCTTCCGGGGGGGGGGTCTGGTGTCTGGTGAGAACCCCGGAGCTCTGCCTGCACGCCCACAGAAGAAGTTACCGAAATGCGCTGTCGGGCGTGGTGCAGACGCGCCAGCCGTCTGGGGGGCTGCCCTGTCCCAGGATGAGTGTTTTCAAAGCCCTATTTCCTCGCGAAGGTTCAGCTATGTGCGGGAAGGTTCTCTATATTTTTCAGCCCTAAATAGTGGAGCCCAGGCCGTCCTAAGTAAGCAGAAGGCATCCAAGGTGGTGTCTCGCACACCCAGACCCCTTCCCTACACGCCTGTCCCCTCAGCCCTTCGGCCTGGGCGTGTGTGCAGTAGGTGCTTACTGAGCACGGCGGTGGCTCCTGAGGGAGTCGTGGTGACTGGGATCCACGCTCAGCCTCAGCCATGGCGGATACTGCGGCTCGTGAAGACGAGAAACACTTCCCCTGCGCCCGGGTACCGGAATAGCACGTCGTGGGAAGTGCCCCAGGGGAGGACTGCGGATGCTCGGGAGTGGAGACTACTTTGCCCAAGTGGGGGGCTGAGGTCCCGAGTGTGGCTGGAGCAGAGGTGGGGGGCAGATTGCCGAAGCCGAGGACGGTGGACACTGCCGGCCGCGCTTACAGGCTGCTCAGGGAGGCCACCTCCCGCTGCAGTCCGGCTGTCACCCGCACCCACTGGTGTGCTGCGATGATTTGGGAAAGCCGACTTTTTGTCTTTCGGAAACATGGTGAGCTCTTGCACCACAGCTCTTATCAGAAATTATGTAAACTCACAAATAAATTATATTTAGAAACAGAGGTAATATGCATTTAAATAAAATAAAATTTAAAAAAAACAGGTAATACTCAAAGCTCATTACTTCCTGATTATTTTTTTCTGCTTCTTTTTTTAGTTTGTAGGAATTTTATTTTTATTGAGTACAGTTGACACACATGTTCCATTAGTTTCAGGTTCCTATTTTCTACGTTTTACTGTTACGTGCTCTCGAGCTTATTTACATTTATTGTACCTGTATGGTGGAAGTGCTATAGAAGGATTGGCTACTACTTGTGTTTCTCTTCCCAACTCGTATAGATATCAAGTTGGTGTTTTGAATTTGGCCTTGGTAGGAGTATTTATACCACAGAAATTGGCAAATGCTGCATATCAGGCTTTGTTGATTGTCTAGATTTAAGAAGATGATGGAGAAAATGTTAATAACGCAGGTTAAATTTAAAGATGTCACGTCTGTTACATTGTGAATAGCACACAAAATGGAGGAAATATCCCCCCAGATGTTGAAAACTATTGTCAGATTCAGCAAAGAAGTTTGTCAAGTCATTGAGGAACGAGTGAAGTCTCAACATATTCTCAGTGTTTCATTTTTGTCTCACTCAAAAATGTAAATAAAAATATCAACCAGCATTCATACTGGAGATAGCCCTGGAGCTGGGACACAACTCCATCTATGAAGTCATGAATACAAGGGTGGAATTTACAATAAAGAATATTGTATGTTTTATTATTATTTGTAAATCCTGTGTTACACATCCTTTGACTCAGTAAGATTTATAATAAACATTCATAAATGCATACTATTTTTGGAGAACTGGTGGTGGGTTTTTTGTTTTTAAGATTTTTTTTTTTTTAAAGATTTTATTTATTTGACAGAGACAGACACAGCGAGAGAGGGAACACAAGTAGGGGGAGTGGGAGAGGGAGAAGCAGGCTTCCCGCAGAGCAGGGAGCCCGATGCGGGGCTCGATGCGGGGCTCGATGCGGGGCTCGATCCCAGGACCCCGGGATCATGACCTGAGCCGAAGGCAGATGCTTAACGGCTGAGCCACCCAGGCGCCCCTGTTTTTAAGATTTTATTTATTAGAGAAAGTGTGTGCACGAGAGCACAAGCAGGGGACGGGCAGAGGGAGAGGGAGAGGGAGAAGCAGACTCCCTGCTGAGGGCTCAGAGCTCAATCCCAGCACCCCAGGATCATGACCTGAGCCAAAGGCAGGTCTAACCACCTAACCGACTGAGCCACCCAGGCGCTCCTGGATAGCTGGTTAAACATTCGTCAGCAGTTCCTTGCATAACTTCACCCATCTCTTGTCCTCAAACAAATCAAGATGCTGCTGGTTTCCAAGCATGGGCTCTTTTATGTGAGCCCTAGTCCAGGGCAAAGA